AACAGCAGCTGCTGCCGTCCCTGCAACAGCAGCTGCCGCACCCGTGACCAGCAGCAGCCGCCGCCACCTCCCTCGGGGCCGCAGCTGCCGCCGCCGCTGACTGCAGCCGCCGGTGCGCCTCTTAACGGCCCCATCGCCGCCTCTACCAAGCCGCGCGACGGCCAAGCCGCCCAGCAGCCGAGCCGCCGAGCCGCCCGGCAGCCGAGCCGCCGAGCAGCCGAGTCGCCCAGCAACGAAGCCGCCGAGCCGCCCGACAGCCAAGCCGCCCAGCAGCCGAGCCGTCGAGCCGCCGAGCCGCCCAGCAGCCGAGCCGCCGTACCACCCTACCTCGCGTCGTGTTCTGTCCTCCCAGGACGTCACCTTTGACGATTCGGTGCCTTACTACCGTCTCTTCCCCTACCGCATTGCGCCAGGTCCTCCCCCGGTAGACCCCCTCCCCCTTCAGGGTCCTGCCCCGTCAGGTGTGTCCCAGGTAGACGCAGTCGAGCCTGTCGAGGTAGCTATTGACTCTGGTGCTGCTAGAGGTGCTGAGCCTGCGGGTGCCGGGTCTGGAGGTGATGAGCCTGAGGGTGCGGAACCTAGGGGTGCTGAGTCCAGGGGTGCGGAGCCTGGGGGTGCTGAGCCTAGGGGTGCTGAGTCCGGGGGGTGCTGAGCCTGGGGGTGCTGAGCCTGGGGGTGCGGAGCCTGGGGGTGCTGGGTCTGCTTGTGTGGCCTCTCGCGGTGCTTCGTCGAGGCGGGAGCCACTCTCTCCGCCAAAACTGCGCGAGTGGTTTGCCTGGCGCTGGAGCCGTGCTGCTGGAGCTGGAGGTACTACTGTTGCTGCAGGTCCCAGAGGTGCTTGTACTGGCGGTACTGGAGCTGCTGGGACTGGGGGTGCTGCTGAGGCTGCTGGAGTTGGTTCTGCTGGAGGTACTGCTGGAGCTGCTGGCGGTACTAGAGCTGCCGGTCCTGCTAGAGTTGGTGCTGCTGGAGCTGGAGCTGCTGGGGGAGTTGGCGCTGGTGCGTCTGAGGGTGCTGGAGTTGGCGCAGGTGCTGCCGCTGGGAGTACTGGTGCTGTCCCTGCTGGTTCTGGAGGCGCTGCGCGGCCGCGGCCGTACTTCGTTCCGCTCCTTGAGCAGGTTCTTGGTCTCCCGCCCTCTCCTGGTCCTGCTCCTCCCTTAGAGTGTCCACCGCCTGTCCAGTCGCAGTCACATTTACAGCCCGCCTCCCCCCTACCTGCTCCTTCTCCCTACACTGGTCCTACTGGAGGTCTTGCTAAGCGTCGTGAGCCTGCGTCTCGTCCTGCGTCGCCTGTTCGTGCTGCTCGCACTAGTAGTCGTGCTCCGCGTCCGCGTCCTCCTGCAGTCCCAGGCACACACCAGATGGCACTGCGTCCTTCCACTACTCCTCTGTGTGTCCCGTTGTCGTCTCCACCAGAGTCCTCTCTTCCTGTCCTTGCTGACCCGGAGTCTGACTCTCTTCTTGCTGCCAGTCCTACTATGACGCGTCTTCTGGCTACTGTTATCACTGACCCTTCCTTTGAGTCCACTGCTGCGTCTGCCTTGGTTGCTGAGCTTGTCGACTTTGCTGCTCGCTATCGTCTAGACTACGCTGCTAGTCTTGTTGTTGAGTCTGAGTCTGTCTGTCCTCCGTCCGTCGGGGGTGAGTGTGCTCTTAGCACGGACGTCCTTGAGGACAGGCAGGAGGAGTTCCAGTGTTTTGCTGCTGCTTTGCCTCATCTCGTGTCCACGCTGATTGCCCCTGAGGGAGACCCGGATGCACCAGACATCCCGACTCCTCGATCGTACGCTGAGGCAATCGAGGGTCCCTACTCCTCTCAGTGGCAGTCAGCCATGGACGCAGAGATGGCTTCCTGGAAGTCCACAGGCACCTACGTCGACGAGGTTCCCCCACCTGGGGCGAACATCGTCAGTGGCATGTGGATTTTCAGGGTGAAGCGGCCGCCGAATTCTCTGCCTGTCTTCAAGGCGCGTTACGTGGCTCGAGGCTTCAGTCAGCGGCAGAGAGTTGACTACTTTCAGACCTTCTCTCCCACCCCGAAGATGACCACTCTTTGGGTGCTGCTGCACATAGCCGCTCAGCGCGCCTACGAGCTTCACTCTCTTCACTTCAGCACAGCTTTCGTGCAGGGCAGCTTGCACGAGGAGATATGGCTGCGCCGCCCACCTGGCTTCACTGGGTCGTTTCCTCCTGGTACCTAGTGGAGCCTCCGGCGGCCAGTCTACGGTCTCCGCCAGGCGCCCCGTGAGTGGCACGACACACTGAGAACTACACTTGCGGCTCTTGGGTTTGCTCCTTCTACAGCCGACCCGTCGCTGTTTCTGCGCACCGACACCTCTTTGCCGCTGTTCTACATCCTTGGGTACGTCGACGACTTGGTCTTTGCCACTGGTGACACTGCTGGACTTGCCCACGTGAAGTCCGAGCTGTAGAAGAGACACACGTGCACAGACCTGGGTGAACTGCGCAGCTACCTTGGCTTGCAGATCACCCGGGACAGAGCACGCCGCACCATTACCCTGACTCAGTCACACATGGTGCAGCAGGTCCTTCAGCGCTTCGACTTCACGTACTCCTCGCCTCAGGCCACTCCTCTGTCTACTCGCCACTCGCTCTCAGCTTTGCCTTCGGATGAGTCCGTAGAGCCGAGTGGCCCGTACCCAGAGCTTGTTGGCTGCCTCATATACCTGATGACCTGCACACGACCTGACCTTGCATACCCTCTTAGCATCTTGGCACGCTATGTTGCTCCTGAGAGACACCGACCAGAGCACATGGCTGCAGCGAAGAGGGTGTTGCGCTACTTGTGCAGTACGTCGGGCATGGGGCTAGTGCTTGGAGGGCGACGTCGAGTGGTCCTCACAGGTCACGCAGATGCTTCTTGGGCTGACGACCAGGCTACGCAGCGGTCGTCACAGGGTTACACCTTCAGCCTTGGCTCCGGCTCTGTTTCGTGGCGGTCTACCCGCTCGTCTTCTGTTCTCGGCTCCAGCTGTGAGGCTGAGATCTACGCGGGGGCCATGGCTGCACAGGAGCTACGCTGGCTCACCTACCTGCTGACTGACCTAAGAGAGCCGCCTCGTTCTCCTCCAGTTCTGTACGTAGACAACAAGGCCATGCTGGCCTTGTGTCGGGAGCACAGAATGGAGCACAGAACGAAGCACATTGCTCTCCGCTACTTCCTTGCTCGTGAGCTGCAGCAGCGTGGTCAGCTGCGTTTTGCTTACGTGGCCTTAGAGGCCAACACTGCTGATATCTTTACCAAGGCACTTCCGCCTGGTGATCATCAGCGCTTCTATACCATGCTAGGTCTTGTGCCTACTTGGCCTCACTTGCTCACTTCTTGACCTTGCTTGTACTGCGATCTTTCTATAACTGCACTTGCCTGTTTACTTTTATATATGATCTTGCATGTGAACTGGCCTTGTGGCCTTGCTCTTGTGCTCGGATTGTGTGGTGACGTTGTGATCCACCCTGAGCTTGCTTTGCTTTGCTTGACTGGTCTTCTGACCTCTTGTTCTCCCCCACTTTGCCTATGGGGGTATGTCAAACTTATATTATATAGCTTGTCTAGGCTATAGTGGGGTAGACACTATGGGGTACAGTTTCTTAGGGTTTCCTACTTGTACCCAACCTTGTGCTAGTTCACTCATTCCTCGTTTCTTATCAGGCGCGTGGGGGTATGGCGTGGAGGATCGTGATAAGAAGTGCCATGCGGTTCGCATTTTTCTACACCCGTGCGGACCGTTTCGCGATTTCGAGCAAAAACGGCTTACAACGCCCCGGGGCGGGCCCGCCCCAAATAGGGTGGGACGCACATTTGTGCGCGTTTGGAGCCGGGACCCATCCTAGATGGCGCGTGGGGGTATGGCGTGCAGGATCGTACGAAGAAATGCCGTGCGATTCGCATTTTTCTACACCCCTGCAGACCGTTTCAAGTTTTCGAGCAAAAATAACTCAAAACGCCCCGGGGTTGGCTCGCCCAAAATAGGGTGGGATGCACGTTTGCACGCGTTTTGGAGCCAATACCCATCCTGGATGGCGCGTGGGGGTATGGTGTGCAGGATCATTTAAAGAAATGCCATGCGATTCGCATTTTTCTACACCCGTGCGGACCGTTTCGCGATTTCGAGCAAAAATGGCTCAGAACGCCCCATGGCAGGCCCGCCCCAAATAGGGTGGAACGCACGTTTGTGCGCGTTAGGAGCCGAGACTCATCCTGGATGGCGCGTGGGGGTATGGCGTGCCGGATAGTGCGAAGAATTGCCATGCGATTCGCATTTTTCTACACCCGTGCGGACCGTTTCGCGATTTCGAGTAAAAATGGCTCACAACGCCCCGGAGCGGGCCCACCCCAAATAGGGTGGGACGCACGTTTGTGCGCGCTGGTAGTCTGCATCTGTGTTTGCGGTGTATCCTTTTTATTATTTATTTTTAAGAGAAAGTCACCCCAAATGTGAGACCTTGCCTAGATAGGCATGTTTCACATGACGTAGCATACCGGATAATCGTGTGACGCGTATATCCTCCTCTCCACCTCGTCACCACAGATTCCTCCTCACCTGCTCCTCAGGGCAGCAGCTTCAGAACGGCCAGCCATGCACGCTCCGCTTGTCGCGTCATAGCTACCATACCTCCTAGGCAGGTTGCCGATGGTCAGTGTAATTTTCCTCGGAACTCTATAGGGTTTTCTTACCCGCGAAGCAACAAATGACCTCGCTGAGTCTAGCAAGCTACGGTCTTGCTCAGCGATTTGAAGCGAGCTGAAGCAGATCATGCTGATGACGCCAATGAGTCGCGGATCACATTGCTAAGGAAAAGGCGGCAAGAGCGCGATTCTTAGAACGAATTCCTTGCACAGCGTGGCCACTACTGACCACCGTAATTTGTTAGCCTGCTGACAGTTGCGATCATTCCGCCACTATAGGCCTTTTGCGTCGTGCGATCGCATCGCGTAGCGAATTTTAACAGCGTGGTCGTTGTTTTTAGAGTTAGGAATAATGGGAACGGAATGCAAAGAACGGCTAGCAAGTACGCTAAGTGAAGACGAGATTCCTTTGGAAGACAGAAACGCTTTCAAGGCCCATGCGGATTTTCTCGCGGTACGTCATTGCAGACTGCATACGATGTCCGCTTATGAGTTATGTATGCTCACTATGCTCATTCCCATGGTTGGTGGGATATGGCCTGCTTCCTTATCAGCACGACGCTATGCTTCCAGGTAACCAACCTGTTCGCAAGCTCACTCTCCAGGCTTCTTTGTGATTTGCCATTTCCCGTGCAAGCGCAGAGACGACACCATCAGCAGCGGTCGACTTGGAGGCAATTAGTCACATGGGTGAACGGCAAGATTACCCTGTATAATGTGACCTTTGGCCTCTACATCCTGGATTGGTGGGAGGTCCTCCTAGTCAGTATCCTCTCAGCGGTCAAGCAGCCCTTTCAACCCACTCGAACCCAATCAAACCCCTCTTTCCAAGCCTTACCCGTTCTTTGCTTCCCTCTTGCATTGCATCATGCCTTTCCTGGATATATGCTTTCTTATTGTCCCACCAACTTCTAGCAAATCCTGCCTTCCAGTCCCCTTTTCCTTACACACACTCTTTCCTCCAACTTTTTTTCTCTTCCCACCTTTCTATTTTGCTTGAAATAGCTTGGTTCTTGTGGTTCTCGTCCCGCCTTTCAATGTACCCAAGCTTTCCTTAACCATGCCTTTCACTGTGTAATAATCTGTTTGTTGTATTCTGTCATCTTACTACCCACGAAGACACTGTTGGAGCTCTCATCCTCTGCTTCCTCCTCTACCACTCGTGTCTCCTCATCATCACATCTGTGAAAACAGTCGCTTCGTTGCTATCGTGATTAGCTTGACTACGGAGGGGCTCTGTGTGACAGAAAACAACGTATTCGAGTTTGGATGGAGCAGCCGACTCCACGTAATTGTGCTTGAAGTGAAAGGGGTGCATGATTAGATGATAGCCAGCCATTCGATGGATTCAAGGGGAGCAGCCCACCTGGGCCTGCTTGATTCAAGGGATGTTTAATGGGCAACCAGTAGTCTAATACCATAGCAATGGAGCAGTCGAATTGAGACTAACAATTTGAGCTGCGGCTCTCATGAAAGGGTTCGGTTGTGCTGATAACGGGGCTGATATATCGTGTATTCCCGGTGGTCCATGTTCCTCCCTTCACGGGAGATGAGCTCTCCCACAGGAAGCATGTCGGCCAACCGCTTTGTAGGGGCTCAAAACTGCATACACAGTTTCACTAAGGACGTGTGTGAAACAAGGGTTTATGAAAGTTCACGTTTTTTACTCGATTTTAGTAGGGTTTTATAACCTGAACTTGAATCGATTTTGAGATGTGGCAAGGTTCGCACCGCGTGTGAGCATTCTTGTATACTCACAATCACACACCAAGGTGCGAATTTGCAAGTTCGAATTTACAGAGGGGGAACCGAGCCGCAATTGGAGACTGTAGGTTACCCGGTTTCAAGCACACCACAGCGCGACACGTCACCGGAGCGCTGCTAAAAAAAGTGAGCCCTAGACCTCCAGCTCAACTTCACATCTGTGGCACGACTAGCCATCGTGGCACGAATTGTGCCACGTGGTGGCCATAGCGAGTTCAGCAATGCGCTGTGTCTTGGTTGTGATCTCATTGGCGCACGAATGAGTCGCGAGGTTCGCTGAAACCTCGTACGTGCCTGACACCACACACGTTTGGATCTTTGTGTTTGTGCAAGTTCACGAATTTTTCTGTATCAAGCAGGGCTCTCGTTATCAGGGTAAAATACCCTTTTTGCACTGACTGGCGGCCGCTTTTTTTCACTTACCCTTACCCAGGCAGGGTACTGGGATTTTTACCCTAGGCCTGAAAGTGTTGGTTTTTTTTTACCCTTTGAAATACAGCATTCCGGAAACGTTTCACTGACTGTACAGGGTACGATTTCACTTACACTGATACCGAGTTTCTCGAAGCGAGGTTTCCAGAAATGCTGCAGTAGCGAATCGGACAACAAGACCAACATGAGCACAACACGACATGAACCATAGGTGCATACTCGGCATTTTTCACGCGTTGTGCCCTGAACACACCACATTGGTGGAATTGGCAGACACCCTGCCAGCGTGACACAGAATCAAAGCCAGAGCAGCAATTGACAGCTGCCCCACTTGTCTAATAGCGCGCCGACACCACAGCGGGTGCAGGAGGGGGTCGTTCTCACAAGAACACCCCATCTTCTTGATCCTTCTCATACCCTAGGTGTGAGAACCACCTAGGCCTTGGTCCCTCACAGTCATGCCTGCCGAGCAACCTCCCCAGTCCCCTGGTGCAGTGCGTAATGGCCTTTCAGTGCTTGGTGTTCTTCCCCGTCATGTTGACACCTACAGCGTCCCCATCGCACCGTTGCCCCGTCCAGCCTCTCCACAACGTAGTGTGGGTACAGTGTACCCGTTTGAGCCGCCGTCCACTTCTGCTGACTGGGAGCCGCACCCGTCAATTGTGCTTGTGCCAGGCGGAGGCGAAGGGTCGTCTAGACCTGCCGCGGCTTCACCAGACACTGTGAACAGCACCCCGGGGAAACGCCCGCGTGTCGGAGTGAAGTACATGCAGCAGCGACTATGGGGAGCCCCGCCACCCCGAAAAGAGGCATCGCCTCGACGTCCAGTTGCCAGTGAGAACGAGGCGCCACCGAAAACGACCGGTGATGTACTCTACGAGACCATAAAGCATCGCTATGATACTGAGTGGAAAGGAAAATTCAAGTGGTTGCGTCTTATTCGTCTGCCTAACGGGAATGCAAAGCTCAAGTGTGACATCTGTGTGCAGCATGGCGACCCCGCCGCTCACACAAGCTACGGTGCGCGAGGTGAAGGTGGCCGCGACCTCCAGATTGGGAGCGTGCGTGCCCATTCGTCAACACGTGCGCACAAGAACGCGGTCAAGGCTCAAGAAGAAGCAGCAGCTGACAAGGCGAAGCAGGCGACGCTGACACGTTGGCAGACGACTGACGCGTCCACGCGTCACATCATTCGCGTTCTGCACATCGCCCTGTTCATCTGCAAGGCGGATGCGCCGATCGCGATGTTCATCCCGCTCTGCTGGTTCTTGGCTAACGAAGGCCTTCCAGACGTTCCTAATGGTGGTGGCTACGGCGCCTACTACACAGAGTAAGCATCGGTTGTTTTGAACGGGTGGTTTTGGTGTTACCAGAAACTGACACGTTTGGCGTGCGTTGTTTTTTTGTGCAGATATGGATTCAAGGAGAACCTGCGGGCCATCTCAACATACCTCCAAGAAATTCAACGGTCTCACTTGCTGGAGTCGCCTTGGATTGGGTTGTCCCTCGACGAGAGCACCGACAGAATCCACGGGAAACATCTCATCGTTTATGCAACTTTTTTCCGTGGCACCCAAGCGGTCAACGAGTTCATCACTCTCATCACTGTTGACCGTTGTGATGCAGCGTCTCTAACGTCTGCTGTTGTGCAGTACCTGACAGGGATTGGGTTGGATTTACAGAAAGTCTCTGCCATATCAACGGACGGCGCTAGCGTCATGGTGGGGAAGAACAATGGTGTGGTCGCCAGGCTTCGCATGAGGATCCCGCACCTCGCCTCTTTGCACTGTGTCGCTCATCGGTGAGTGTGCATGGGCCCCCTTGGTTATGACGTTGCACTGTGGGAACATTGACTCACCCAAGTTGAACTGTGTGTACTTGGCAGAGAGTCACTTGCTGCAAGCGATGCTGCGGATGCTGTTCCGGAGCTGTACATGGTAGACACTGTCATACGTGGCTTCGCAAATCTCCTCGGCCGTTCGAACGTCAAGTACGAGAAGTTTCAGAACATCCAGCAAATTTTCTGCAAGACGAACCTGGAGGCTCAGGGAATACACACCGTACGCTGGCTGTCACGGGGTGAGGCAGTCCGTCGCTTCCTTGAGATCCTACCTGCTGCCATTGTGGTGCTGAAAGAGTATAACGATGACCTGTACGAGATTGCCACCTCTTTCAAGTTCCAGTGGTTGATCCGGTTGCTTGCTGATGTGCTGTGGGAGTTGAACCATCTCAACGAACGGTTCCAGCAACGGCAGGTAAAGACAGCATGCATCGGTTTCATTCGTGGCTCCCATTGCGTAACACTGACCCTTTCGTATGATCGGCCTGAACAGATCGACGTCACCCTCGTGTCCCATCTCGTGGAGCAGACACGAATGCGCATAAAGAACCGGTACTTGAACTTCGCGCCGGGACAGCACTTCGCCAGCGGAGAAAAGATGACGCTGTACGACTTCATTCAGCGCCATCAGAAGATGGACAAGCGGGAGGTGAAGGCGGAGGGCGTGGACAAAGATGGCAACCCCGTAACATTCAGCTACACGCTGCACGAGAGGGCCATTGAAGGGCAGGAGACGGACGGCGATGTCACTGCCTGTTTCGAGCTGTCGCTGAAGTTCGTGCGGGCTGTGGACGTGGAGCTGGAGTGGCGGATGAGGGACCTGCAGCAGCTGGAAGGGTCGAAGCTCTTTCGGTCTGCGTCATACGTTTCCGACGACGCCAAACGCGTGGAAAACTTCAAGACATGGCTGGCTAAGCTGCACAAGCTCTACAAGAACAAGCTCCCAGGTATGTGTCGCTGAAGTCGAGTTATCCACCGGTGTCTTGTGATCCCAAATACAACGGCGTTGCTATCCCATCTCACTTGCCATTCATCCGCCATACTGTTCGGCCCTGTGTCTGTCACCTATACCTGCCCGAGAGTAGCACATCGGTTGGTTGGTTTAATTATCCCCCTTCCACCCAGTTTCTGCGTGTATAGCTCGGTGTTTTCTCATACCCGCACTACAGGATTCGACTATGTCAAAGCGCATAGCGAGATCTGGTTGTTCACATCGACGATGTTTTCCCAACACAACAATGAGGACTTCCATCAGGCGTTGGGCAACATGCTCCGCGACGACGACTGGCAGCACTCGTTCCCGAACTTGATGAAGATGTGGCAGGCAGTTGCCGTCCTGCCACTGAGCACGGTCGAGTGCGAGAGGGGGTTCAGCAAACAGAACCTGATCAAGACGTGGGGGCGTGGCTGCCTTTCAGACACCACACTGGAGCACTTGATGCGCTGTTCGCTGCTGCAGTATGAGATGGACTGGTACGAGGTGGTGTCCATCTTCCGGGGAGAGAAGCTGCGGAGGTCAACAAGGGACTTCAGTGGCACAAATCCGGGCGAGGCTATCTTTGCTGAACCCGTTGTAGAGTCTTCAGACCCTGTTGTTGGAGAATGAGATGTATTTGGAGGTTCCCAAAGTGTGCTAGTAGCTAGTTTGCAACTAGAAACAACTGTACTGTTGCTATAGTGCAATTACTTATTGATGGAGTAGGTAGCCTGCCAAAATCAGTGTATGGCAAATACTACACTGACTGGTTCAGCATGGGAGAAATTTTACACTGACTTTGACAGGGTACGAAAATTTTTACCCTAACCATCAGGGTTGACTACACCTGCGACCCTGATTACAAAGGGTGCCCCAAAACGAATCTGGAGCCCTGGTATCAAGTTCACAAATGAGGGTTATGTCAAACATTATATGTTGTGCTTGTTTAGGCTACAGTGGGTTAGCCTATAGTGGGTACACATTTCTAGGGTTAGGTTTGACCTATTTGTACCCAACCCTCATTCTAGTCATGCATTCTCGTTTCTCATTCTGACATGGTATTACGAGCCTAGGTTCCACCTAGGACCGAAACGATAGGGCCCACCGTTTCCGCTAGCCGCGCCCTCGTGCGCCGCCTTTTTCCTGCGCCTCGCGCGCCTCGTTCTTAAGGCCCCTAAGGCCCTCTCGCGTCGCCCCTTAAGGCCCCTCACGGCCCCTCGCGTCGCCCTCTTAAGGCCCCCTACGGCCCCGCGCTAGACTCTCAAGGCCCCGTGTGGCCCCGCGCTAGCCTCTCACGGCCCCCGATCGGCCCCGCGCTAGCCTCATAAGGCCCCCGTCGGCCCCGCGCTAGCCTCCTAAGGCCCCCGAGCGGCCCCGCGCTAGCCTCCTAAGGCCCCCGTCGGCCCCGCGCTAGCCCCGCGCTAGCCTCCTAAGGCCCCCGATCGGCCCCGCGCTAGCCTCCTTAGCCCCCGTCGGCCCCGCGCTAGCCCCGCGCTAGCCCCCCTAAGGCCCCCCGTCGGCCCCGCGCTAGCCTCTCACGGACCCCGTCGGCCCCGCGCTAGCCCCGAAAGGCCCCCAACCGGCCTCGCCCTCGCCCTGGACGGCCCCGCGCTCTCACCTAGCAGCCCCACCCGGCCCCGCGCTCGCCCCTCTAGGACCGAGCCGAACCGCGCGACCCGACCGAGCCGCGCGACCCGGCCGAGCCGCGCCGCCCTAGCCGAGCCGCGCCGCCCTAGCCGAGCCGCGCCGCCCTAGCCGAGCCGCGCCGCCCTACTGCTCCTACCACTACTGCTACTGCTACTCCTGCTACTACTACTGTTGCCACTGCTACTGCTTCAGCTATGGCTAGCCCTACAGTCCTCTCGTTCGATACTGAGGGCCGCCCGATTAAGTTTGAGACCTGGCTCGATGATCTGCACCTGTTCCTCCAGCTAACTGCCAAAGATGATATCTCGCTGTACGATCACGCACTAGGCACAGTCCCTGCTCCTGCTACTACTGCTACCGCTACTGCTCGCTCGCAGTGGCAGACTCGCGATGCCCACGCCCGCTTTGCCATTCGCAACTCCCTGCCAGTCGATGAGCGTGAGCACTTTGGCCAGCATCAGACTGCGCAGGCCCTGTACACTGCTGTAGTTGCGCGCTACTCCTCCCCGGCCTCAGCTGCACTAGGCCGTCTCTCCCTTCCCTACTTGTTCCCAGACCTGTCCGCTTTCCAGACAGTCGCTGACCTCATCACTCACCTCCGTACTAGTGATGCCCGCTTCCGTGCAGCCATGCCCGCTGAGTTTCTTGCCTCCAACCCTCCCCCGCTCTGGCTCACTCTCTACCACCTAGTCACCCGCCTCCCTGACACTCTGCGTACAGTCAGGGACCACTTCCTAGCTCGCTGCCCCACTGAGCTCACCATTGCCGCCCTAGAGAAGGAACTACTTGCAGCTGAGAAGAGTATTGTAGCTGTAGGTGCCTCTCGTGGCGACCCCAGCACCCCTTTCTTCGAGGGGTGTTCCCCCTCTCCCCTCCTCCCCTCTGTCGCCTCTGCTGCTACTGTCGACCTTCTTGGTACTGAGCAGGTCGGCTCAGCGCCCGCTCCCAGCGGGCCCCGCAGCGGCAAGGGCAGGGGAGGCAAGGGCGGTGGGGGTGACGGCGGGGGAGGCGGTGGTGGGGGTGGTAGCAGCAGCGGGGGCGGTGGCGGGGCTGGAGGGGCTAGTGGCAGCGGTGGGGGTGGTGGAGGCAGCGGCGGCGGCGGTGGCCGGGGTGGGGGCGGTGGTGGTGGCGGCAGTGGACGTGGCGGCGGCAGGGGCGGTGGTGGTCGTGGTGGAGGCGGCGGTGGTGGTCGTGGAGGCTCTGGCACTGGCCAGAGTGCGCAGCACCCTCAGTCCTCCCAGGAGCTTCGTGAGTGGTACTTACAGCACGGGGGTGGGGGGGGTAGCCTTAGCTGCACGTACGTCATCCGCACTGGTCGCCGCAAGGGACAGACGTGCGGGAGGGCGCACACTGCGCAGCGCTGCTTCTCTCGCCTAGACGACGCTTGGCGTGCTCAGTTTCCTGACGCTCCTGAGCTCCCTCAGTGGGCTGATCTCCTCAAGAAGGATATCGATATCTATGCTCTTGATTTTGATGTTATTCTCAAAGCAATGTATGCATTGACTATTAGTGGAGAGGAGGACCAGTACCTGAGTGTTCCGCCTGACCCAGGCATCCGCACGAGTGAGGCTGCCGCCCTAGGTGCTTGCGTGTCTGCTGCCCCAGGTGCTGGTGAGGCTACTGCTCTAGGTGCTTGTGTGTCCGCCACCCCAGGTACTACTGAGTCCACTGAGGCACTGCACACCTTCACTCTAGACTCAGGCGCTTCGCGCTGTTTCTTTCGTGACCGCACTACTCTTGAGCCCCTTGCTCGACCAGTCGCTGTCTCGCTCGCTGACCCCTCTGGGGGTCCGGTCATTGCGACCTCCTCCACTGTCCTTCCCTGTCCTGCTGTCCCGTCGGGCACACTGTCAGGTCTCCACCTCCCCTCGTTCTCTACGAACTTGGTGGCGGGTTGTGCGCTTCAGGATGGGGGTGTTCACCCCTGCCTACGAGCGAGTGACACACTGCACGTGTGCTCGGACGGGCCGTCACGTGGCTACCTTCACTCGGCAGCCGGGCTCGGACCTGTACACACTGACCACTGAGTCCCCTCAGGTAGCGGCGTCTGCGTCTACGTCTGCGTCAGGTCAGCTGTCTGCCCCCTGCTCGTGTCGCTCTCTAGCGCACAAGACTGTACTCTGGCACCACCGACTTGGTCACCCGTCAGTGCAGCGCCTTCGGGGCATGCACGCCCAGTACCTTGTCTCTGGTCTTCCTCGAGTACTCCCTCCCCTCCCACCCTTTCTCCTTGTCTTCCCTGTGTCGAGGGGCGGCAGCGCGCTGCCCCTCACTCCTCCTCGTTTCCCCCGACGACTGCTCCTTTGCAGACGCTCCACATGGACGTGTGGGGCCCAGCCCGCGTCCGTGGTCAGGGCCAGGAGAGGTACTTCTTGATCGTCGTTGACGACTACTCGCGCTACACCACGGTCTTCCCCTTGCGCACCAAGGGTGAAGTCCCTGATGTCCTGATCCCTTGGATCAGCAGAGCACGTCTTCAGCTGCGAGAGCGTTTTCGCTCGGAGTTTCCTGTCCTGCGCTTGCAGTCTGACAGGGGTGGCGAGTTCTCCTCCGACCTCTTGGTAGCCTACTGTGCTGAGCACGGCATTCGCCAGTCGTTCACGCTTCCGGCCTCTCCACAGCAGAATGGGGTTGCTGAGCGCCGCATTGGATTGGTCATGGAGGTCGCTCGTACCTCCTTAGTCCACGCGGCTGCCCCCCACTTTCTGTGGCCGTTTGCGGTCCGGTACGCTGCGCATCAGCTCAACCTCTGGCCCCGTGTCTCCGCTCCGGAGACCTCGCCCACACTGCTGTGGACGGGGGAGGTTGGCGATGCGTCACGCTTCCGTGTCTGGGGATCCCGAGCTTTTGTTCGCGACACGTCTACGGACAAGCTCTCCTCCCGCACTGCTCCCTTTGTCTTCCTTGGCTTTGTCCTGGATGCGTCTGGCTGGCAGTTTTACCACCCCGCCTCGCACCGCGTCTTCCCCTCTCAGGACGTCACTTTTGACGAGTCCGTGCCCTTCTACCGCCTCTTCCCCTACCGCACTGCCCCACTCCCTCCCCCACCTCTCTTCCTCACGCCAGGTGCTGCAGTGGTAGACCCCCTCCCCCCTCAGGGTGCCGCTCCCTCAGGTGTCTCTCAGGTAGACCCGGTTGAGCCTGCCGAGGTAGCTGTCGACTCGCGTCCTACTAGAGGTGCTGAGCCTGAGCGTGCGGAGCCTGAGCGTGCGGAACCTGAGCGGGCGGAGCCTGCGGGTGCTGAGTCTGGGGGTGCTGAGTCTGGGGGTGCTGAGCCTGGGGGTGCTGGGTCTGAGGGTACTGAGCCTGGCGTTGCTGAGTCTGGGGGTGCTGAGCCTGGTGGTGTTGCAGTTGACTGCGAGGCGCCTGGAGGACCTCCCTCTTCGCAGCAGCTACGTGAGTGGTACTCACGGTACTGCAGCCTCCGGCGGGGTGCGTCTCGGGCTCGTGGTGCTACTGGAGTTGGTACTCGTGTTTCCCCACCACGGCGGGAGCCACCCTCTTCCCCACAGCTTCGAGAGTGGTACGCTCGGCACATCAGTCTCCGGAGTGGAGCTGCTGGTGCTGGGGTCCCTGGAGTTGACGCTGCTGCGGGTGCTGCGGACCCTGGTGCTGGAGGTGCTGCTGCTGCTGGCGGTGCTGCTGGAGGTGCTGCTCGTACTGAGGACCCGGGCGTTGGAGCTGCTGCGGGTACTGCGGACCCTGGTGCTGGAGGTGGTGCTGCTGCTGGAGGTGCTGCTGCTGGAGGTGGTGCTGCTGCTGGAGGTGCTGCTGCTGGAGGTGCTGCTGGTGCTACTGGAGGTGCTGCTGCTGCTGCTGGAGTGGAGGACCCAGAGGGTGGAGCTTCTGCTGGTGCTGAGGACCCTGCCGCTGGAGCTTCTGCTGGTTCGAGAGTTGCTGCACGGCCACGGCCGTACTTCGTTCCGCTCCTTCAGCAGGTTCTTAGTCAGTGTCCTCCTCTCGCCTTAGAGTGTCCTCCGTCTGTCCAGTCACAGCCACAGTTACCGCCTGCCTCCCCACTCCCTGTGCCTACTCCGTACACTGGTCCGACTGGAGGTCTAGCTGAGAGACGTGAGCCTGCTTCACGTCCTGTGTCACGTGAGTCTCGTCGAGCGTCGCCTGTTCGTGCTGCTACCACTGCTAGTCGTGTCCAGCGTCAGCGTCCTCCTGCTGTCCCAGGCACTCACCAGATGGCGCTTCGTCAGTCCACTGCTCTGCAGCGTGTCGCTCTCCCGTCGCCTCCTGCGTCCTCTCTTCCTGCGCTTGCTGACCCGGAGTCAGACACCCTTCGCGCTGCCAGTCCTACTGTCACCCGTCTCCTCGCTACGGTTGTCACTGACCCTTCCTTTGAGTCCGCTGCTGCGTCTGCCTTAGTCACTGAGCTTGTCGACTTTGCAGTTGCGTGTCGTCTAGACCTCGCTGCGAGTCTTGTTGCTGAGTCTGAGTCTGTCTGTCCTCCGTCCGTCGGGGGTGAGTGTGCTCTTGGCACGGACGTTCTTGAGGACAGGCAGGAGGAGGTTGGTTGCCTTGCCGCTGCTTTGCCCCATCTCGTGTCCATGCTTGTTGCCCCTCAGGGAGACCCGGATGCACCAGACATCCCGACCCCACGCTCTTACGCAGAGGCGATGGCCGGTCCCTACTCCTCTCAGTGGCAGTCAGCCATGGACACAGAGATGGCTTCCTGGAAGTCCACTGGCACCTACGTCGACGAGGTTCCCCCACCTGGGGCGAACATCGTCAGTGGCATGTGGATTTTCAGGGTGAAGCGGCCGCCGGGCTCTCCGCCTGTCTTCAAGGCGTGTTACGTTGCACGAGGCTTCAGTCAGCGAGAGGGAGTTGACTTCTTCCAGACCTTCTCCCCGACCCCGAAGATGACCACTCTTCGGGTTCTGCTACACGTCGCCGCTCAGCGTGACTACGAGCTCCACTCTCTTGACTTCAGCACAGCTTTCTTGCAGGGCAGCCTGCACGAGGAGATCTGGCTGCGCCGCCCACCTGGCTTCACTGGGTCGTTCCCTCCTGGTACCCAGTGGAGCCTCCGGCGGCCAGTCTACGGTCTCCGCCAGGCGCCACGTGAGTGGCACGACACACTGAGGACTACACTTGCGGCTCTTGGGTTCGCTCCTTCTACTGCTGACCCGTCGCTGTTTCTACGCACCGACCCCTCGCTGCCGCCGTTCTACATCCTCGTGTACGTCGACGACTTGGTCTTTGCCACTTCTGACACAGATGGTCTCGCTTACGTGAAGTCCGAGCTGCAGAACAGACACACGTGCACAGACCTGGGTGAACTGACAAGCTATCTTGGCTTGCGGATCACCCGGGACAGAGCACGGCGCACCATCACCTTGTCTCAGTCACACATGGTGCAGCAGGTCCTTCAGCGCTTCGGCTTCACGTACTCCTCGCCTCAGTCCACTCCTCTGCCTACGGGACACTCGCTCTCAGCTCTGCCTTCGGATGAGTCCGTAGAGCCGAGTGGTCCGTATCCAGAGCTTGTGGGCTGCCTCATGTACCTGATGACTTGCACTCGACCTGACCTTGCATACCCTCTCAGCATCTTAGCACGCTATGTTGCTCCCGGCCGTCACCGGAAGGAGCACATGGATGCAGCTAAGAGGGTGTTGCGCTACTTGTGCAGTACGTCGGGCATGGGGCTAGTGCTTGGAGGGCGAGACCGACCTGTTCTCACTGGGCACTCAGACGCTTCTTGGGCAGACGACCAGGCTACTCAGCGGTCGTCCCAGGGTTACACCTTCAGCCTTGGCTCTGGCTCTGTCTCTTGGCGTTCTACTCGCTCTTCTTCTGTTCTCAGCTCCAGCTGTGAGGCTGAGATCTACGCCACGGCCATAGCTGCCCAGGAGCTTCGCTGGCTCACCTACCTGCTGACTGACCTTGGAGAGCAGCCTCGTTCTCCTCCAGTGCTGTACGTCGACAACAAGGCCACCATTGCCTTGTGTGGGGAGCACAGACTGGAGCACAGGACGAAGCACATTGCTCTGCGCTACTTTCTTGCTCGAGAGCTGCAGCAGCGAGGTCAGCTTTGTCTGCGTTACGTGGCCACTCGGGCCAACACTGCTGACGTGTTCACCAAGGCGCTTCAGCCTTGTGACCATCAGCGCTTGTGTACTGTTCTAGGCCTCGTGCCTACTGTCCCTCATTTGCTCACTTCTTGACTTTGCTTGTACAGTGATCTCTATATATCTATATACCTGCATGCTTACTCTTGCTAGGTTGTGATCACTGTATCTCTTGTTCTTTTATAAATCTGCATGTGAACTGGTCTTGTGACCGCTTGCTTGTGCTCGGAATTTGTGTGGTATCCTTGAGATCCACCCTGAGCTTTGCTTTGCTTTGACTGGTCTTGTGACCCCTTGTTCTCCCCCACTTTGCCTATGGGGGTGTGTCAAACATTATATGTTGTGCTTGTTTAGGCTACAGTGGGTTAGCCTATAGTGGGTACACATTTCTAGGGTTAGGTTTGACCTATTTGTACCCAACCCTCATTCTAGTCATGCATTTTCGTTTCTCATTCTGACAGGTTCGCACTTCCCAAACGGGGAATTTGTTTCGACTTCGGCGAGGCGGTTAGCGAACATTGGCGAAAAGGGTAACCACCAAAAGTTCGACCCTGATTACGAACTCCATAAAAAATCTCACACGTCCTAACCGTACTTGATCTAAGGTATTCTGCGTTATTGTAAGGAATTTTCTCGGCATTCCTTACGGAGCCGACTACATCGCGTACAGCAACAGCCGATTGTTCGCCCGATACTGTTAATGGAACTTCGCCGACTTCGCACGCACTGTTTTGCCAAACCTCGCAGTGCTGGCATGGCCGTATCGGCCTACGCCTCGGGACTAGCCCGAGCCTCGCTCCAGCGTAGCACTAGCAAGCTCGCATGCACCGCGTTACCGTTTTGCATGTTTCGCGTATAAATGTTCGCTCATGCCTTCGCTCACATTTTGTACTCGTTTGACACCTTAGTGCAATTCTCGCTACCTCGATTCATTGCACCCGTAACACTTGGTATTCAGAGCCTCTTTCTTTTCGGACCGCGCATCTCCGCACACCAGGAACGCAACTTTTGATTTTTCACTCGAAGGGACTTACGCACCTTAGCCCCTAGGAGCCGCTGCCCTTGCGTTCTCTCGTAAACGCGTGCAGCCACGACTGCGCCTAGACTAAGACGAGCCGACGCCCTTCGTCATGGCTGAAAATATCGACGTCACCACCCTCACGCAGGAGCGTTTGAATGATCTGCTGCGACAGCTGCACGAAAGTTCCGAGGAAATCGCGGCATTGACGGCAGAACGCTCATCGCTGCAAAATGACCTCACGAGGGCACAACAAGCACAATCTCAAGCACCTGGCACCAGGGCCTCAGATTCACTTTTAGGGTCGTCGACCCATCAGGGTACCCTTGTGTATAAACCCTGATTGACAGTGTTTCTAAAAAAAAAAACCTGAAATATCAGGGTTCCCTTTGAAAAAAGGCTGATGTATCAGTGTTCAAAAATATAAAAGGTTGTTCATTACTAGAAACCTCTACTTCAAATACTAAGTCAGTAGCAGCCGTGTTATCATCACTGCCTTTGGCTTCTCTCCTCTCCTCAGCTTGGGACACCAGTACGTGACAGTGCTCTGCCGCAGCACACACATACACGTTGAAGCTGCAGGGGCAGGGTGTGGAGGAGGAACCGGATTGACAGGCAGGGTGAGGCAGGGAAAGAGAGAACAGGAGGGAGAGAGGGGGGAAGATTGGCACAGTTGGGGGGGAGACAACTGGGGGAGAGATGGAGTGCACGGAGTGCGGGGCAAAGGGAGCAGAGGAATGGACGGCGGGCGCGCGGGTCATGCGCGGATCATGTCGTCGCGCAGCACGACGATCTGCGCACCGCACGCGGTGCAGATGGCCTTTTCAACCGCGGTTCGTGTTGGCGACGAGGCAGCCTTCGGTTGCCGCCATTAGCACGAAAAACTACGCGTCGTCGAGTCGTAGCGGGCCTGCGACGCCGACGGGAATTGCCACGTGGTCTACGACCATCTAGCAGAATGCACTGCGGATCGCGTCGAACGAGAGCGATGTGTTCGGTGAGACAAGAGGAGATTCGGCGGCGCTTGCGATGGGTTCGATTCCCGACAGCCCGCCCTTTCTGGTGCTGATGGCGCCATGAATTAGTGCAGACAAGAAAGCAAGAGAGGAATCGGGCTGAGAGGGAGAGGGAGAGAAACAGGAGGAAAAGAAACAAGAGATTGGGTTGGAGGGAATGGGAGCATCAGTGCTTGCTGGTGCAGGAACCCTCGCAGCCCTCCAGCACAACATGGTTGCCACATCCTGATTAGCTATCACTTCATGCTACAGCGTTACTGCCCAATGAAGTGCTGGCACCGCAGGAATATGAGATTCCCTGTTTTGCGGGCAAATGCACACGGAACAAGTAAGAATTGCTTTCAGTGTTAGTTTCGTTACAACGCCGTAGAATCAATGTACTTGGGAAACGAAAGTCTGAAATTTCAGTGTGGCCTAACAAAAAAGGCTGAAAGATCAGTCCCACAAAAATCTCAACGCTGATTTTTCAGTGTAGGTAAAAAAAGGGCTGCCAAAATCAGGAATTTCAGGGTTTTTTTCCTGATATCTGAGGCCCTGCCTGGCACTCCGATTCAACCTGCACCCTCCACATCACAACACGGGAGTGTGGGGCAACCCGCGAGCGCGGCCAGTGATGGCGTCGTCCGCCCCGACGGGGACGACGACCACGGCACGACACACCCCAGAGCGACGCATGCGGCCCCAAGTCAACCTCGCGTCACGATTTCGGCACCAACCCACGATTCGGGACTGCCGTCACCGATGCCGCTGAAGCCGCAGCGCCCGCCATGCTTTGACCCGAGTCAACGGGGTGGTCCTACCGTTCAGGCGTGGTTGTTCACAATGAATGTCTTCTTCGACGCCAACTACGTCTCGGAGGACTCGGCGAAGATTCGATACGCCGTGTCGCTGCTGCGAGGACCCGCCATGGACTGGTGGCGCGTCATCGTCACGAAGCCGACAGACTACGCGACACTACCGACACGGGAAGGACAAGCCGGACCCTGGGCGCCGTCGTATTTCGTGGAGGTGCCCCAGTATCGCACGTGGGACGCGTGGTGCGCAGGTCTGCGCGCTCGATTTGAGCCAATTGCGGCTTCGATCGCGGCGCGACAGAAGCTCCGCACTTGGCGCCAACTCGGTTCCGTCCAGGACTACACGAGCGGATTTCTGGCGCTATGCGAACAGGTGGGCTACATGCATGAGAGCGAGCGCATCGACCGCTACATCGGCGGCCTGAAGTAGGACATCGCTCAGGAAATCCAACTTCGCGGCGTCACCGAATTTCAGGAAATTCTCGCTATGGCGGAGAAGCTCGACTTCTTTCGCCGACCGAGACCGGGGTCCTACGGAAACAACACCTGGGGACATCGGCCTCGTGGGACGAACGAGAGCGCCACGATACGCGCCGTCGCCGCAAATGCCGCTGCCGCACCGTTCAAAGGGCGCTGCTTTGCGTGCAATCGGCCGGGACATCGCAAGAGCGAATGCCCGGAAAACGCTAAGGGAAAGGGGGAAGCTGAGCAGCAGAAACAGACCAAGCAGCAGGGAAACGCTGGAAGTCAGTAGCAGACGGGCCCTCTACTGACAGGTCACGCCGCTCGCCCGACCCAACCGACCCTCACCGAGTGATTGTGCCGGTTCACGCAATCGACCACACCCGGCCGAATAAGGAGGGTACCACGGTAGACAGCCCTATAATGCTCAGTGGGAAAATTGGGACGGACTTAGTTAAAATCTTCGTAGACGGGGGAGCCAGCCACAGCCTCATTAACACTGCTACAGCACGAAAATTGCGACTGCCACTGGACAGATGCTTACCTGAGATCGACGCACGACTGGTAGACGGCACGCCGCTGGCAATACGGGAACGCATAGACCGAGTTCGGATTCGATGCAGGGGTAACTTCACGTTTAGCCAGGAAATGCTCGCAACGACCCTCGACGGAACCGACATTTTACTCGGGCGTGATTGGCTGCGGCGACACAATCCGCGAATTGACTGGACGACGGGTGACTGCACCGTGCGAGTGAACGGTAACAACATCGCCTTACCTCGCTGGGGCTCGCCTGAGTCTTCGTCGGTGCGTGTCAATGCGATCACGATGAAACGCGCTGTAGCGGCCGGAGCTGACGTGTACGCGGTTGCCATTCGGGAAGCCGAGGCAGCAGACAAGGGAGGGGATTTACAGAAACTGCTGACCGGCGTACCGAGTGATCTGGCAGCACTGTTAACACGGTACAGTGACATTTTCCTGGATGACTTACCGACGGGACTGCCACCTCAGCGACCGCACGACCACAGGATAGAACTGGAACCGGGGGCACAGCCAACAGTACAGCGACAGTTCCGACTGACCCAACCCGAACTGGACGAACTGAGGAAGCAGCTCGATTACCTGCTCGAGAAGGAATTCATTCGCCCTAGCTCGTCGCCCTTCGCCGCACCAATACTGTTCACACCGAAAAAAGAAGGGGGATTTCGCATGTGCATAGACTACAGAGCACTGAACAGGGTTACCATCAAATCCCGTTACCCCATCCCACGAGCCGACGAACTGATCGACCAACTGTGCACAGCCCGGGTTTTCTCGAAAATTGACCTCCGGGGAGGCTACCACCAAATCTGCGTCAACCCACCCGACTGCCCTAAAACCGCATTCTGAACACGCTACGGATCCTTCGAATACACTGTCATGCCATTCGGACTGACCAACGCCCCCGCCACCTTCCAAATGACCATGAACGAAGCATTCCGCTCGCTGTTAGATAAGTGCGTCATCGTTTATCTGGACGACATACTGATTTACAGCCCTGACAGAGCACAGCACTTACAAGACATCGAAGCAGTTTTTAAAATCCTGAGTGAGAACCGCCTACTGACCAAAGCATCTAAGTGTGAGTTTTTACAGGACCGCCTGGAGTTTTTGGGACATGTTATTTCAGCTGCGGGAGTGGAAATAGACCCGAAGAAAATTGCAACGATTCAGGCTTGGCACGCGCCGACCAACTTGACCGAGTTGCAGAGTTTCCTGGGGTTCGTCAACTACGTGCGCCGGTTCGTCCCCGACATGGCGAAGCTG